ATATCTAGTATGTTTTAGCAAATTTGAATTGTACTGTATCCTTCAACTATTACATAAATTTACTTTAATATGATGAGTTATTTCAATAATGGAACTGTAAATTGTTCTATTTAAAAGGAATATGCAAGGCACTTATCGCACATTTCTGTTTTGACTTTTGTATAAGACACTCGAATATGAATATTATTTGACTTAGTATTTAAAGAAAATACTGAATTAAAAAACGTATCTTTACATAATACGTTTGCCACAAATCAATTTATGAAACTATGCACTCCTATTACATTTTATCTTGGATAGCATAATAATTATTTATCTTTTTGGCACCTTCAATGGTGATCAATTTGTGTGTATCTTTATGCAGTTTTGCATAGAGTATATAATTATGGATGCTGCTGTTGCATTTGTGCTTGCATTACTGCCACGAGTTCTTGCATTCGTCGTAATTCCGCATCTTTTTCTTGTAGAATACGATCTTTTTCAGACACTGCATGAGATTTCTCGGATTCCATAATACTGTTAATAAAATGATTCGGTAAGTTAATAAATATATTTAATATTATAAACAAATTTATGTATACGTCTTTTAAATTTACGTTTGTCTGCGAGGTGGAACAGGAGCTCCTTTTGCCAGTCTTTCACTACGATAGTTTTCATAATGTACCTCTTGTGTCACTTCCTGCAAATCCTGCATATGTGTGCTGCAAATTTACAAAAATAAAAAGCAACAGTTTCTTTGTTCTAGTACAATTTGTTCAAATAATAATACTTACATCAACATTGTTCTCAATTTTATAAAATCACAATGATCAGGGTTCTCAACCTCTACAACTCCCCATGGATACAAGCGTCCACGTACTTTACGCCCCTTTACTTCTAACAGAGTGTTAGCTCCACATACTGCAAAAGGAACTGCTTCTTTTAGTTGTCTAACTTGTTCTTTGTAATCTTCGTCTTCGTCGCTATCACAATCTGGCAGAGGATAGATTTTGATACCACTGCCCTCAATTTCTTCCATAACACGCTTTTTTAAGCGTAAAACTTCTTTTTTTGTAAGTACATCTGCTTTAGCAATTACTGGCACAATATTGACTTTATTATGGAGTTGTTTCATAAATTCTATATCCAATGGTTTCAATCTAGCAAGAATAAATATATTTCGTAACTTCTATACCATTTCTAAAGTATAGTCACAATTAAATTTGTCTTACCCATGACCAAATGGAGAAATAAAATAAAAGCAGCAGTGTATTCTATTATCTACTATATTTCTTCTATTTAAGCCACTTTCATCACGTAAGAATCTTTCAAATTGGTCATCTATGTACTGTATAATAGCTCTAAAACTATCTGTATTATCAATTGCATCTCCATAACCAGGTGTATCGACAACAGTCAACCTAAGTTTAACTCCTCTTTCTTCAATCTCCACAGTAGAAGCATCGAGCTTTACAGTTTGATTAGTTTTTTCTATTTATATAACATTAATACATCAATAATTAACAATGTTGCAAAAAATATTAAACACAGACATTAGTATCCACATAAAATTAAACTTACCTATAGCATCAGGAATTACACGTTCTGGATATAAGTCAGTAAGAAATAGACTATTGACTAACGTAGATTTTCCAAGACCTGATTCTCCAACAACCATTAACGTAAATTCAAATCCTTTCTTTACAGATTTCCTATGTACTTGATTGGGTAAATTTGCAAATCCCACATATCCAGGAGTTTCAAGGCTAGCAAACTATATAATAAAGTATAACAAATATAAACACCACTTTTATAATGTACAAAAAAAGATATTGTAAATAATTTTTATATTTATTACACAATACTTACAGTTTTCACACTTTCAGTAGACATTTTTTTCTAAAAAAGTAACCTACAGAGGAGAAATTACTAATTGAGTGCAGCCGAAGAATATTAAAAAAATAATCCGAAACCAAATTTTAGACAAAAGGGCGCCGTATTGTGACAGAACACGATTGTATCACAACCATACCGAAAATACATGCGTCAAATAAAACGGCGTAGAAGTGACCAGGTGACTTTACTTCACAACTTTTGTTTGAATCCACATTACTTTTACTTTCTTGTAATTAACTAACTGATGACCAAAGTCATATAACAAAACCAAATTATTTATTGTGGCCTCATTGAAATATAGATGTTACACCGACTGTACAGGAAACATTACTCCATATCCGGGTAAAGTGGGGGAAGGGAGATATCCCTCAATTGGAAGAAATTTAGGCGTGGCAACTGAAATACCTCTGGGGTTCTATAAGAAATAAGATAACCATTTTATCTATGTTACATTCTTCATCGATGCAAATTAACATTAAACATGTAATTACAAGTAGAAACTGTAATTTACTTTTTATTATATATCTTTTAAATATTTTAATGTGTAAAAAATTAAAAAAAAGTTGAACATCGAATTATTATGAAAAATTATCCGAATAGATTAATTTAGTATATTTATGAGTGATTTACAAAAGGTATTAAGAATATTACATGTTATTCATAATTAAAATTACATACAACTTTTTATCGCCTATTGTCCCTTAAATCTCTGACGATACATTATACGTTTATCAGGCAAACGGCTACTTTATTCAGGAAATAATAAAA